AAAAGGCACATGAAATATCTTTGATCTATACCACATATGGACCAAAAGATGGGAAGAACTGCCGTAAATTTTAGACATTAATTCTTGTCCAACACTTGAATTCTTATATCAAAAATTACTGATTAGGATAATGAACTCAGAATAATAAACTCAAAGATAAGAAACTACAGCACCTCCAGCAATACTGGGCAGGTTATGCTGATACCATGAATATCACTTCAAAAAGTACCAACAATGCTATTTAAAAGTTTTTTTTTCTCTCTCTCTCTCTCAGCTCTATCTGTCTATCAGACTAGACTAGATTGATTCATATAGATTGATAGATAAGATGGTATGAATATTCCACATTCATTATGAGAGATCCATATGGCTATATCTAATAAAACTTTTACTTAAGAATCCCTTGCAAAAAAATACTTACTCAAGCACTTCTTCCTTTTCTGCGTTGGTGAAGAGAAGTCCGCACTGACCAACAAGCTTCTGCGACAGCTTATAGAGATTCTCATGAAGTTCTTCCTCAGGCGTTCTACCTAAGGCTAGTGCCATTACCTTATTTTTACCTAGGAAAAACCTGAAAAATGATTAAAAAAAAAAAAAAAGTTAATCAAAAGATTCACTCCAAAGACTATGGGTCACAGTGACTCAAAATCAGACATTAGACAGACAGACAGATAGATAGATAGATAGATAGATAGATAGATAGATTAGATAGATTGATTCATATTGATTGATAGATAAGATGGGTATGTATATTCCCACATTCCACCTAATCCTACACCCACACAGAAATAAATTAATATAAACATAAGTATATATAAATACTCAAATGATTTTCTAGTGATACCCTTGCTACATATTTTATCAATAATAATACTCACTTGCCATGTAGCAACATTATTTTTCAAAGGGGGTATGAACAAGTATAAATTCAAGAGGACTACTAGAAGCTAGTAAAAATACCCACTTCTTAATTAAGCACATTATATAAGTGCACGAAGAGTGCTAGCCTCTCTCTTGCTCGTTCATTCATTGCCTAATGGACCTTTACTAGTGTATGTAGAGAATAAACTTACTATCAAAGTGGTAGAATTAAAGCAATTCATAATTCATTTCCCCACAAACATTATTCATCATGGGTGACAGATATGCATTACTGAAAAACATGAATAAGTGCCAAGAACAAACAGTAAGAAACGGAAGAGCAGTACCAACATGATACAATCAATATACAATTACTGCATAAATAGGTTGACCATTCTGTCACATGGTCATCATAAGAAAGTAAAAGGGTGGTTACATTATAAAACAAAACCATATCTCCCTGCTGTAGAGCAAATACTAGTGAAAAACTAGTTTGTAAGGAATTATCAACCTTTATAATACTATAAATAAGTGAACAGCTATTCTGTTATAACAAAGAAATGTATATACTCTAATATGTATTTCAACCACAGTTTCATTAGCATAACACAAAGCAATCTGTTACTACATTTGCTATGCAAATCCTGAATGACAAAGCACTTTACCCTACTGAGACAATGGCAGAAAAAAAAACAAGATATACATCTTATCTTACCTTCAATAAACCTAACATTTCTTCAATTGACATAAATCCAAAACTTCTTAGCAAAAGCACATCACCTCAAAAAAAAAAAAAAAAAAGGCTGCCACACGTAATCTTTTGTCTCTTTTCCTAGATCATTATAAATAGAGAAATAATTGAAAATACAAACCTGCTCTGTCCCCATTCTAAACGCATGTCTTTGAGTTTGTTCGTTCTGATGTGATGTGCTGAGAAGATGTAGATGTGGTCATAGTTGTCAATAGAATTTCTGATTTCTTCAACTAAGTTCTGTTTCATTTCCAAACCCTTCTTCTTTGTTTGGGTAAGAGAAACTGAAAGAAAAAAGAATATATATCAGTATGGAGCATCATGAAAAACAATCAAAAAACAAAACAAATGCTTTCTACGTATATAATGGTTTTTGTCTGACAGTTCCTATAAAAGTGGCTTAAGCCAATAACTGTAACATTAAAATAACTGGCTAGTGGCGGTTGCTGGCACATCACTGATAGCTTCCTCATTTGTACCCAGCTCATTTGGTTACTTGTAACCACAATTTTTAACAAATTGAATGTTTCCCTCCACTTTAGGTGTCTGTATCCAAATATAACACCAAACAAATGATGTTCATAGTATCAAAAAAAGAATCTCCATCAGACGAGCTGATGGTGCTTGGTATGCCATCATGCAGCATCATCCACAACTCATCCACTACAGGCCAATGAATGATTTTATGCCAACCACATTCAGAGGGTTCAAGTGAGCACTGCTGTCTCTGCAATTAGCAAAGGCAAGCAAACTTCCATCAGCAAAATTCTAACAAGACAGGCCTTGGACTGATTCCTTTTCAGTGATAAATCAATAAGATAATCTACAAACTCTATCTTGCCTGAATATTTTTACACTGTGGGGAATTGTTAGGCACTGCCATAGGACCAGACCAACAACAAGTAAAAGGCCTGTGGTGCCTGCTTGATGCCACAGGACTTTAATCATGAACTATATTATCACTGCTGTTGGTTTCCCTGACAAACTGCATCTGAATTGCAAATATATAATTCAACCTATCAATTAAAAAAACATCAACATGTTGGGTTACAGAGAAATTGTTGGCTAAAAAGCAAAAGACTGAATTTAAATCACACAATAATTAGGCTACTGTGATGCCCCAATTATTTGGGGTTTTTACCCCCTAAGCCTCATTTCAGAGGCAGCCACCTCCCTGCCCCCTGCCTTGTTTCCCCTTGTATGTTCTGGCAGGATAAAGCCCAGGTAAAAGTCAGGACCTTATACCAATTCAGATAATCATTTACCTACACCATAATTTCAGAGAAGCCAAGCTGTTGGTTAACATATTCCTTCCAACTGTTAATGGGAATTGAGCCTTATCAATCGTTCCCTGTAACATTTGTGATATTTTGCAAAGGGAAACAATTTTTCTGAATCTAGCCTTGATGGAATGAATTAGAATTTCAACTGTCTTAACTAAGGTCCAGCTTCTACTATTTTGTGATTTCCTTAATACAATTCATATTCTTGACATGCTGGAAAAGTATGGATAATAGAGCTCGTGAAACTCTTGCTTTTCATGATACCCACGGACATATTACATTTCTTCAAGACATTACATTGTATTACCATGACAAGTATATCTAACCATGTGTGTGCCTGATAATATAAAAAACATGGCACATATCAGGAATGCACATTCAATGAATATGTACCTTTGTATATTGAGAAGACAACTGGGTAATTTTTTGGAATATGTTCGCCTAACAGATCTCGACAATTTCAGTATCAATGGATTCCTTTCACTGTCTACAATGCAAATACGTAGGCTTTATTATGCAGAAGCCTGCCCAACCCCACATTCTTGGCCATGATAGCAGGGGAGGGCATGAAAGGTACCAGGGAAATTGTGGGGTAAAATGTAAATGATATACACAGAATCAGTCACTATATTCCCTAATGCAGGGTGTGTGTCCCCTGCAATCCCCCTATTGGGGGCTGATGCCCCCCCATCCCATCCTGAAAAACAAAACCTCCACATATACACAGCAGGTGCAAGAGTATGACCGCCATGCAGAAGCTGCATGGCCAAGTCTGTCCGACGCTCACTCCTGCCGAAAATATGTAGAGGATTCTTTGTTTTCCTGGGCGGGGTTTGAGGCCAGAAGCCCCCCCATGTGGGGTTTGAAGGGGACACTGCCCCCTACATCAGACAATACAGTGACTGAGTCTGTGTATATCATTTACATTTTACCCCACAATTTCCATGGTACCCTTCATGCCCTCCCTTGGGGGGTTTCCACACAATAATTTCTATATATTTGGAAACTAGACAGTGAGAGGAATTCAACAATGCTGAAATCATCGTAATCCCTTTGGTGGACATATTCCAAATATTACCAAAAACTGAAATACAGAGATATATTGAAGATACAGTACCTTTTCAACAAGGAAAATGCTTGACTGACTTTTTTTATATACTTGCATAAACAAAGCGTCCACAGAGTTACTGCACAGGTAAGGATAGACTTTCTCTCCAAGCAGCATTTGTCGAGACCTATTCTTTTCATTTCTATCACTATTCTATTCATAACTGAGTTAAATCTTTAATATCGGTGAGTGTAGTATTATCCTTTATCTATCCCGGTTAGAAAAAACTCATATATTTGCATTGATGCCAATCTCGAGACGCAGCTATGATTATTTTGCTCTCGCCCAATTTTCCTTCTCGTAGATATGAGGCCTCAGCAGCTTAGACTATGTTCTATCCCACTCAATTTCTTCTGCTCTATAAGATGGCGGTGTCCATTTCCCTCTATCTACGTGCTTCTGTATCTAACTTATAAAATATATAAACTTATAACATAAATCACACTTTTTGATGACGCACCAAATTAGTCACTCTGTGGACATGGTTTGTTGGCCTTTGACTGAATGTAAAGTCTGAACCTTGCCGCATCTTCTCCTATGATCCTTTTCTTGATAATTACCAATATTTCCAAATGTATCATGCTATTATATGCTGTAATAAGGTGACCAGACCCCAAAACAACACAAAACAGTTACTTAATATCCATTTCCCTTGTACAGTTCCAACCTGAGAAGTACGATTTAACAAGCTCTTACAATATATCAAACACGAAAAGGAATAAAATATAACATACGGATATATTTCTGGTATAGAAGACCACCATGCTACCGCCACGACCTAATATTTACCTTGTTATTCTCCGCTTATTTCACATTAATCAGATCACAAACCGTCCTCATAACATCTAATTAACCATCTTAATACACAGAGTCGTTGAAATATACTTACTAATCTTTCTGCGCTTTGCACGAGGCATTTTGTTGTGATTTTGGGCTCAATTTCTACGTCTTGTTCCTTGCCCAACGTGGGTTTGTTGCGGAGAGTACGGGCGTATCTCTAGTTGAAGAATACTTTTTCATTATGTACATCAAAATATGATTCTGTCTTATATTTCATATGATTTATAAAATTATTTTTGTCTATTTTTTATCTTTGAACTTACTTGAATGGTTGGGTTTCGTTAATATTATTTGCATCTGTATCCTCCATGAGAATGGTATTGAACCGCTACGGTAGACTATTATAATTCGGGGAATATGTTAAACATATCTTCAAAGAAATAATACGTGTGTGTGTGTGTGTGTGTGTGTGTGTGTGTGTGTGTGTGTGTGTGTGTGTGGTGTGTGTGTGTGTGTGTGTGTGTGTGTGTGTGTGTGTGTGTGTGTGTGTGTGTGTGTGTGTGTGTGTGTGTGTGTGTGTGTGTGTGTGTGTTGTGTGTGTGTGTGTGTGTGTGTGTGTGTGTGCATACATACATGGCATGTATATATGACATGTGCATATATATATATATATATATATATATATATATATATATATATATATATATATGTTATGTACACACACACACACACACACACACAACACACACACACACACACACACACACACACACACACACACACACACACACACACACACACACACACACACACACACACACACACACACACACACACATATATATATATATATATATATATATATATATATATATATATATATATACATACATATGTATATTGTGTATTATGTACATGTATATGTATATATTTGTGTGTATATATATATATATATATATGTGTGTGTGTGTGTGTGTGTGTGTGTGTGTGTGTGTGTGTGTGTGTGTGTGTGTGTGTGTGTGTGTGTGTGTGTGTGTGTGTGTGTGTGTGTGTGTGTATGTGTGTGTGTGTGTGTGTGTGTGTGTGTGTGTGTGTGTGTGTGTGTGTGTGTGTGTGTGTGTGTGTGTGTGTGTGTGTGTGTGTGTGTGTGTGTGTGTGTGTGTGTGTGTGTGTGTGTGTGTGTGTGTGTGTGTGTGTGTGTGCGCGCGTACATACATATGTGTATATATATATATATATATATATATATATATATATATATATATATATATATGTGTGTGTGTGTGTGTGTGTGTGTGTGTGTGTGTGTGTGTGTGTGTGTGTGTGTGTGTGTGTGTGTGTGTGTGTGTGTGTGTGTGTGTGTGTGTGTGTGTGTGTGTGTGTGTGTGTGTGTGTGTGTGCATATCTACACGTACATGTATATGTATGTATGAATATATGTTTGCATTTATGTATACATATAATTCATTTGTATACCCGTCTATATTTACATACACATCACACACACGTACACACATGTAAACGGACATGAAATATATTACATGCCTTAATTCCCCAGCGCCATCAGGATGTTCTCACTGAGGCAAGAGATTGACAAAGTTGCAATCTAAATCATTCATGTCAATTAAACAAAATATTGCAATCAAGAGATCAAAAGCTGATGCCGGGCCGACGGAAGGCAGAATACTCATTTTCATTCATCAGCATATGTATAAATAAAATAAAAAAGTTATATACCTTGATATTTTCGAGAATGATGTCGACATATATTGTTTATTTATTCCTTTCGTGTATTTTCTTTTCTGTTAATGTTCATGTGTTGAATAATTCAATATGTAGAGTATTCAGATTTTCTTAACTAGCATACATTTATTCAAAATGTGTAGTTTATTCACTTTATTAACAATGAGATTTTTCTCTCTCCAGTCTTCAGTCTTTTACAATAAATTTCATAAAATCGAGTAACCCGCCGAATCTGGTAACACTTCTCCCGAGTGTTACCACATTATCATCAGAAGATTACCGTAATCATTATAATAATATATAGGCCTAGAATACCACTCAAAATCACGAAGAGTTTTCATAGAGGTTAGTGAACTCTGCCTTGAATGTTAGATATTGGTGACCAAAGGAAAAAAAAAACATATTTTAGTGTAATGAGTCACGTGTTTAATTTTAAGCTAAAAAATGGAGGTATTTCTATTTAGGTCTAAACTGAAAATAGATGACAGCTTGTTCAGTTTTTTTCACTTTAACTTCGCATTATGAAACCTTCAGTGCAAGAATCTCTCATGAACTCGTTTGTGTTATCTTCTGTGATATTAAATAAACTAAGAACAGATGAACATATAACAGGTGCTGATTATACTAACTTGCCAAGCCTTAAAAGGAGGCTTCTTTGCACACAAAAAAAAGATGATGACATCAGACAAAAAAATGTGAATCACAGACAAATAACACACGGAAGAAATCGTACAAAATAAATCACATCTCGAATATATTTATTAGACTTTATCCTTATTATCACTTACATAGATCATAGAAGAAAACAGAAAATAAGCAAATCACAAAAAAGAGAGAAAAGCGCAGTCGTACAAAATTAAATCACATCTTGAATCATTACGCTAAGATTTTATTTTATCCTCATCATCCCTCTCGCCCGCCATTACTTTCCAGACGATAACTTCACTCCCCAACTCCTTTCTAGTTCCAGTCAC